TGCCTTAGTATCAAACTAGTGTGGAAGTTTTGATGAGTGAAAGATTAAGCATACCAATTTGAGAGAGAACTGTTTTCCCTCTAAAGTTCAGTAATACCTGGTTGTCATGAGATGTTCACAAAAGAAAAGCATGGGAAACGCATTGACAGCAGACACCCATGATATTTCCATGCAAAATGGGCAAGGAAACAAAAAGGAAGGCAGCTCTGAAAACTAGCTCTATGATTTCCACAGCTTGGAAGCAATTAAAAGGCTATTCATGCCTTCACTAGTCAAAAGCAGAAAACACGTAATAATGATGGGTTGCCCACAATATTGTCTACTATGGTACAATTGATACTTTGTTCTACAGCAACTGAAATGAAAACCTGACTTACCAAGTTACTTCAAAAACGCATTGCTACTCTAGGCTCACAGGCTGAGAATCAGTTAAGCACAAGGAACCATTGTTATCCTTACCTCTTCCTCACTTACAGCAAATACACATGAGTTGTTTGCATATGATAGATAGATACGCCAAGGGCAATACCAACACAGCAAATAAAATGGCAGCTGCTGTGCCAGTATTGAAGCAATGGCAGGGTTAGATACTTCATATACTATGTGATAAAATCACAATTAGCACTAAAATGAAGATCAGATACTCTTATCACCAGAACACAGTAGCTCATATCTGGTTTTCTGCTAAGCCTAGAGGCTTTTTGGAGTTTCTTATAATTCCTTTCTGCACATTTGCCCTGATTTGTGCCAGGGACTCAGCAGCTGCCCTCCATGCCTAGTCAGCAGCCGAGAGACAGATCTCTCCTGTTTCCTGAACCTCACAGTACCCCAGGAAGAAAGCTAACAAATAGCAGCCCAGCAAACAAAGCAGAGACCCTCTGGGTGCCATGGAGGATCCAGATATTATTGTTTTGAGAAGGAACAAAGATGAGAATCTGATGCAGATGAAAACTCTTCTAGATGTCTGATTTTGTAGCCCTTTCAGGCTACTGTTGCTGTTCACTCTTATCATGAAGGTATGGGCTGTAGGAACAAGCATGCTAGGTTCCCCTGCCCTGTGGTCATTCTCATGGCCCTCCATGAATTGCTTTGTGAGTGAAGGAATGACCGTCGGGTGTGGAGCACACTTCCACCTGCAGACAAGCCACAGCTGTCTGAACATCATGCCCTCTATCTAACCTTTGCTCTCTTAGTAGTCTGCCGTGCCCTGTCTGTGACCTTTGTCTCCTTCGATTAAACATTGTTCAGGGGGAAAGTGACGCGGTGGAAACAGGTGCCAAAATAACTTTGTTCTACCCCCCAATCTCACGACTGGAAGATGTGTAAAGGGCACTGTCCAAAATGTATCTGACTGGTTTTGCACATTGTGCTAATAAAAAGAGCCTTGGCAGAGCTAGCTAGGAGCTTGCTTATGCACAGCTCACCTGATGACCAACACCTGTCTCGTGTCCTTCACTTCAGTGAGAAGCAGGGATCCTCCTGAATATCTGAAAATTCTCCACATATTTAGATACTTGATGTTCACATTTCACATCAACCCTCCAAGGAAAGCTAGTGCACTTACTACTGAACCACCAGCATCAAAACATTGAAGAGGACAGTGTCAAAGCAGTAATATATTTCAGTTATTAAAAAAAATCACAGTAAAAGTTATTGTTTAAGCTGAACTGAAAAAGTAAAATGTAGTATGAAATTGCTTTAATTAACCACATGGGGCTGGTTCCCATGGTCTGAAATATCATCCACTGCTGTCAAGAAAACCCTCTTGAGCTCAATTCAGGATTGGGCTCTGAAAACCAAGCTATTTCCCCCAAAGACAGAGAAAATCACTTGGTTTTTCTGGCCTCATTTCTGAGCACAACAGGACTTCTGAGTATCCCCTTCCCTAAATGCCCCGCAGCATTTAAAATTATTAAATGTTTTCTAACCCAAGCTGGAGAAGATTACTTTTGTTTCAGATACAGACTAGCACTATTGGCTAGGCAAATTTACATTTCTCATTCTTTCTGTAAGCTCAATAAGATATTCCCCACTTTATGAATGGCCTTGTTCTATTATGTCCCTCTTTGAACACCATGTCAAGGAGCAGAACCTGCTCAGTATTGATAATCACCTTCTTTACTGCTCATCCAGGTGAGATTTGTCAAGCCCCAAAACTCTATGCTTTTAAACGCTTGGTGAAGAACTTAGTTAAAGGCTTTTAGCTGACTTAAAAATAATAATTTGTTGCTCCCCCACTTTGCAGTGCATTTTCCTGTCACTTTCCCACCTGAAAAAGTCTTCTTTTTTGTGGATCTGTTGTGCTATCGCACCAGAACACTTTAATCCTACTCTAGTTGTGCAAAGCTAAATTTCTGGTATGCGCTTGAATCCCTTTCACAATAGTGACAGCCTGCAAGCACGGAAAGTAAAAATGGATTAGAATTTATGACTCAATCTAAAAATGTTTTTTTTTTTTGGTCAAAAGCATTTGATGCGGAGAAAGTAATATTGCACACACTTTGCTGTACCATCCAGGGCATGCAATAAAGGAGATACCACACATGTTTAAAAGTGAAAGAGTGAACAATTGCAATGTAAGTCCTACAGCAGTCGTAATGCTTGAGACTGCAGTCTTAGGTTAAAAAACTTACACGACATTCTTTGCAGTTCTTGGTTAAAATCCTCTGACCTTCTGCCAACACTTTTCCTCCATAGATACATTTGGCTAGAATTTTCAAAATAAATAAAAGCATCAGTATTTAGTAGTAAGTGCAGATAAATTATACAGTTTGGTACAAACAATATTGCTTTAAGTCAATCTAGATGCACTGTGGTAAATATGATGTACTCATTTTGCTTTCAGTAGCAGCCAGTGTTAATTGCTCACATTTATTTTGACTATAATGGTAAATTCATTACAAAAACTATTATCTTGAACCATTTCACAACTCACTCTGATAAACTAGGCTACTTAGTGACCTGAAGTAATAGGAGAAGCAGAACAGATATTGAACTCGATTCATTAACAGAATTAGTCATGGCAGTGACATTCTGTGGAGCAGGCACAGTACATTTGTATTAAGATATGCCTGTATGGGCAAAGTATTGACAACCTGGATGGACTTACTGTATCACAATATATAGATTCTGATTTATCTACACCATATCAAGACAGGTGAAAACAGAACTGTGTCCCTGTGTAACTGGAGCAGTGTCTCAAGTGAGCCACAGGTATTCATTAACTATCATAATTGATTAGATCACTGCTGGAAATACAGGGCTAACAAACACATGGAAAAAGGAAGACACCATAGAAAGATCCACAGTGATGACTATCTGTAACATTAAAATTAGATTCTGGGGCATATGGATCTAACTTTTCTTTGCTGATTGCCTTTTAGAAACTTTTACAAATGAACTAAAACTCAAATATTGTATTTCTTAAAAGGTAAAGGTAAAGGACCCTTGACAGTTAAGTCCAGTCGTGAATGACTCTGGGGTTGCGGCGCTCATCTCGCTTTACTGGCCGAGGGAGCCGACATTTGTCCACAGACAATTTTTCCAGCTCATGTGGCCAGCATGACTAAGCTGCTTCTGGCGAAACCAGAGCAGCGCACGGAAACGCCGTTTACCTTCCTGCCAGAGCGGTACCTATTTATCTACTTGCACTAGACATGCTTTCGAACTGATAGGTTGGCAGGAGCTGGGACCAAGCAACGGGAGCTCACCCTGTCCCGGGGATTTGAACCGCCGACCTTCCGATCGGCAAGCCCTAGGCTCAGTGGTTTAGACCACAGCGCCACCCACGTCCCATTGTATTTATTACATACTTTTAATTCCAGAAAAGAATGCATATATACAACAGACATTATAATTGTCTGTTATGCTATCCTTTCCCAAGCAGAGGCCCCTTGAGCCATGCCAGATATATCTCCATGAATGAGGAAATACAATTCCTTTAAGGATAGGTAAATAATAAAAAAATTCTCAGTTCAGGGAGAAAAACCTGGAACAACTCAAAAGGCCTCTGTTTGCACAATATGGGTTGGACTACTGTAAAAAAAGTCAGTCATACCAGATATAGCTCCATGATACCTGCCTTCTGAGGAACTACAGATGTGTATTTTGGTATAGTAGTACTGGTGCCAGAGACAAAAATATATATAGTGTGACCAAAGTACAGATCTCTACTCAAGATGACAGGTACTCAATTCTTAAACGGACTCTCAGTATTCTTGAGATTATGGGTACTTTCAAGCAAGTATCATTTCTGGCAATGGAATGAATATTAGCTCCAAAATCTTTGTTTGGTTAGAAAAGAAATTGGCTTAGACACTGTTACTTCACGGGGTACATATGTAATAAGGTGCCCAGTGCTCCAAATTATTAAAGCTAGAAAAACTAAATTCCCCCAGGTTGCGTCATTAATACAGATAAATGAAAGCTTCAAATATGTTGTTGTTTTTGTTGTTACAATTATGTAATTTATTATCTGCCCTCCACCCTAAGGTCCCAGGGCAGGGTACATTAAAACACATTACAATACAATATTAAAAGCAGTTTAAAATAACTTACAATTTATACCCAAATGTTGCTTCCTAATAGCACAATGTATTACAAACTCTAGTTATGACTTCCTGGCACATTTGCATTACTGTAGCCATAATAAAAAAGAATGTCCTCTTTAACTCCAGTAAAAGAGGAATAGTAAATAACATTGCTCTTTAAATCATTTCCCCTTCAAGAACCGCAAACACTGCAGAATGGGACAAAACCTTACTTTTCAACCTTTCAAATTATATCTATAATTTTCCTTGGTAACAGTCATGCAACTAGGTCTGAGGTAAAAAATGAGAGATAGGGAAGGTGGTAATAGGCCTAGGGCAAGCAGAGGAACTAGAAATATTACACCAAACTGAAATTTTATCCTCAGCAGTTGCACTTTACTTCTACAAATTCTCCCCATATACTGTCCATCAACTTCTATATGTTACACCACAGGGTATGCTAGCAACAAAGGGTGTGTGTGTAAATCCTATAAAAATCTTCTTTGAAATCCATCTATACCACCACATTTTGACAATCAAAGTTTCACTTATGTGATTTCATCACTATTCTAGTTGAATGTTACTTTTTTGTTGTAGGTTGCCTATTTTAAAGTTATGTTTTATTATCACATTTTTGTATTGCACTAGATTGTTATAAGATGTACATTTTTTGTTTCTTCAGCTTGTAAACCGCCTTGAGTATTGTAAGATAGAAAGACGGTATACAAATTAAAAATGAAGATGATGATGATCTTTGAAGAATACAGCATGTCAAGAGTATATAATGATGACCTGCCTCCCAGCTAGACACACAAGAAGAAGAAGAAGAGTTTGGATTTGATATCCCGCTTTATCACTACCCAAAGGAGTCTCAAAGAGGCTAACATTCTCCTTTCCCTTCCTCCCCCACAACAAACACTCTGTGAGGTGAGTGGGGCTGAGAAACTTCAAAGAAGTGTGACTAGCCCAAGGTCACCCAGCAGCTGCATGTGGAGGAGCAGAGACGTGAACCCGGTTCCCCAGATTATGAGTCTATCGCTCTTAACCACTACACCACACTGGCTCTCATAGCATGGAGCCCAAAAGGTTTAACAAACTACACTTTTCAGATTGTTCAACTGGCAACTGTTGGTTGGCAGGTAAATAGGGCAACATTGATAATGGAATAAAGTACCAAATATTTAACATTCCTAGCTGGGGTGCAGCCTTATCAAAGTGACAAAACTATATCATGCACGATGAGGAAATTCTCTGGACTAACATCAACAAGCAGAAGTCTGTAATACCTTCAGTGTATTGCTCCCATTATATATGATTCTGTATTTAGGCCGTTCCACCATGATGCCATAGAATTTGTTTCAGAAGACCTGTCAACATGGGTATGATACGATTCAATAGCAGATAGTGTGGTTAGGCAGTGATGCTCACCTGATCTCCCATTATCTGTTGCTGCTGCTTACCAGGAATGAGGGTAGGAACACTCAACAGATTGGCTCTGATGGTACATTTGCATGGCACCAGGCTCTTCACTGTCACACCCTCTATCCAGCAGCAGCAAATCAGCAGAAGGCTAGATGAGCACCAACACCCAACAGTACGCTACTGATGTTATTAAGTCATACCCTTCTATGTTAATATATAGATATAGTTGTGTCTCTTAGCCTATCATGTTTTTAAACAATTGGTTTTATTGAGACTCCCTATTTTCTGTTTGGAACTTTGCATATTGTCTTACTCATCTGTTGACTGTAATAAACACCTGACTAACTTTTGTGTGGTAAATGTGGCATTTTTTGCAGCTACGGCTTGTAAATCATCATCTTAGAAAATATAAAACCTAGATTTTGTCTTTCCGATGGACACAGGGCTGGTGGAGGTATTTTTCAGCTTCAAATGTGACAGCCTATATAACAAGGCTGGATGTAGACTAAAAGGGAAGAAAAATCTGAATAATAGTCAGACTTTGCCAGAAAGTCAGTTTTGATCTCAAAAAGCATGTTCTGTACTGGAGGGATTAACTAAAGATAACTGAGAAAAAAGAATCCTCCTGCATTTTTCAGGTAAGAAATGCTAGTTGCTTTAACTCATTTTTTTAAAAAAAATAATAGCTAATTATCTGCTCAATAAGCCCTAAGGAAAGACAATTACAGTTGATCATACTGTCAATGACTGTATGGACAAAGGGCAGAGAAATCAATCCACACAGTATCATCAGTACAGACAGCTTCAGTGTCTGGAACAACATGGACCCCAAAAACTGTCCCAAGTATATCATTCTGTCAAGATTTGCAATCAATTTTAATCAATGTTTACATCTATTTCTTTTAACAGATTTCCAAGTACACCAACAAGTTGAGATGGGTGTCAACCAAAAAAACACAAAAGAGTAGGTTTGTTCATTCATTCATATTTTAATTAGAGGACATGAAACAAAAGAAAAGATTATTGTGACTATATGGTTAAATTCAGTTCTAATGCTAAACCATGGTCTCCTTCTGGGCCCCCGTGTTCCCTCTCCCCTTCCCTCCTGAACAGAAAGAGTTCAGAAGCCTTTGCCCCCCTTTCAACATGGCTTATCACTTCATCTGAACCAGGAATCATAGTTTGACGCTAACCATGGTTAGTTTCAACAAACCAGCTCCACAACCCATGATCTGACGTTGGCTTATTTTGAATTTCTTTTCTAACCAAATCATGTTTAACCGCAATCCCTGATTCAGATGAAATGACTAGTGGAAGAACCTGGGAGATGGCCAGGCTTATTCACATTGCACAAAGCCATAGTTTACCGTCCCTTTCAAACATTACCCTTCTGTGGCCTGAATCATGTGTAAAAGTAAAATTTTACTAATTATGAATTTTAAGTCCATTACATGGTATGAGCATATTTTTTAACTCCAGGATGCCTCTCTCCCAGAAAATGCAAGGCAGAGTCAAATTTCAAATTACTTCCCAGGGAGTAGGGGCTTCCCGAATTGAAGTGACATCACTCCACAACTTTACTACAAAACTAACAACAACAACAAATAGCATGTAAAATCAGTATGACTGAGAAAAAGAAGAGAGCACAATACCTATACTTACACTTGCACAATTTGCAGCACTGGCCTGTTAAATGGACCGGAAGGCGGTCTGGCGAACAGTTCAATGGTGGGCAGGCCATTCGCCGGCACTCCACTACTCCACTCTGTAAAATAATAGAAAAATAGGATTAAAACACCTGTATACAGAAGGGTTAGCCAACATGGTGCTCTCTAGATGTTGTGGACTACAACTCCCCTCATCTTTGGCAATTGACCACGCTGGCTAGAGCTGATGGGAGCTAGAAGTTTGAAAAGCTCTGCAGGGTACCACATTGGCTATCTTTGGTATAAAGTAATGTATATTTTAGGGGGCGGGAAACATTCTGAACTTGTGGAAAAAATAATTAGCTTAGATATGAATATTTGGATAAGCTATACTGCAACTACAATTTCACCATTCTGAAGCAACCATAATCATATCCAGCTGCTACCTATGTGAACATCTATTAAATTTCAGATATAAATTATTTCCCTTATTCCACCAATCACTAAGTGGGTTAGACAATAGAAGCCATCTACCCATTTTTAAAAATACAAAATAACACCTTCACAGTCTCTGTCAATCATCTTCATTTTAACAAACAGTTTTCTATTTTCTTGGGCAAACAAAACCTCTCTTCTGATAGTTATCAAATAATTTCAACAGTACAAGATTTACATACTAATCAACTTTTGTTCCTCTGATGTTGAAAATAATAAATACCACGAGCACAATATACATGTTGTTGTCATGCAAAATGCAACTCGTGCAAACAATTAAGATAACGTCTCATTTCCCACAAACTTCAGTAATACAATTCTAAATTGTACACAGGAAAACCAAAATGTTCAGTAAAAAACATAGCCATCTAAATACAGGAAAGAAACTGCTTTTAGGCAGGTATCATTTTTGATTCCCTCCCCATACTCTGTACATAATGCTATGCATAATACCAATAACTAACCCTCCAAGTTGACATTATGTACTCAACAAACTTATACTGAATTGTAATGAGTCATCTTACCCCCATATATAAGTTAGAAGTTTCTTACTTTGCAAGTACAATTCCTGCAGTGATCATCTTCAACCCATGAATCTTTGTCTCGATAGATCACTCCATTTACTTGACAAGTCTTCTCACAGTGACAGTTTTCCAACTGACTAAGCCTCATTTCTGCATAATTTAGCTATAAATGAAAGTTACTTGATTTAATTCCTGGAATTCATGCACATGGGTTCATACAAAGGAAAATAAAAGCACAGCTTAGTGATTTTCAGAGGAATTAGGTTTTATCATACTGACAAAATCACATGAAAACAGCATGACTTTAAGCTGGTATAAATCAGCCCAGATCCATAGATGGTAATCGCATATGCTTTGCTAGTGTATTTAGTTCAGTCCAAATTAAAGAAACCTCTGTATATGGGATGAGGATCTCAGGGCAATTGTCTAATCTGTTAACCGGCAATCAAAGTAACACCATGTCTGCAACACATAATTATTAACTTTTTAAATAATAACTATTATGTCTATAAATAACAACCTATCTATTTAGAACTTTAGTGTCCAATTCTTGGCTCTCTATTCTGGAAAATGTTAAGAACTGGAAAAGTTCAAAATGCTATGATCTGTATTCCAAATCAACTAGTCAAACCCGTAACATGAAGCTCATAGATGTAGCTCTTTCCCTGGTTCCCATCTGGCTTCCTGGAATTTATCAATATGCAGGATATGCAGCAGAATAAGGTTTGAATAGAATGCCATGGAGAGATGGACTGGGGAAGTCCCAAGGGAAGTGACTTGTAATGGATAATACATGATATATAAAATTATGCATGTCATGAAGTAAATGGATAGCAAAAAGTTTTTCGCCCTCTCTTATACTGCAGGAACTCCAGGGCATACAATGCAGCTGAGTGTTCGAAGATTTAGCACAGACAAAATGAAGCACCTTTTCATACAGCATATAGTGACTAAAGAATTCGCTCCATCAAGCTGCAGTAATGGTAACTGACTCAGATGGCATTAAAAGAAGATTAGACAAATTCATGGAGAATAAGGTTTTCAATGGCTACTAGGGATGATGGCTATGTTCCACTGCCAGAGGCAGTATGCTGCTGAAAAGCAGTTGCTGAGAATTGCAAGCAGTGTTCTCAGGTCCTGTTTGTGGGTTTTGCATAGGCATTTGAGAACGGGAAATTGGACTAGATGGGACTCTGGCCTGATCCATTGCTTTTCTAATGTTAAAACACCTCCCCACCCCTTCCTGTCTGAAGCATATTATTCAGGCAAACACTGCATTCATTCACAACATACCACACATCCAACAGTAAATATACTCCTGATAGGAGCCATAATTCAGACCAGACGCATGGCCTTTCCACTTCCAGCATATGTTTTGAACATTTACAGCACGTAAAGGGACATAATGGGTATTATATAGAAAGGGTATTTTGTGCAAGAAGGTTGCACACTGCATAAGCAGCTTGGCCTCTGGATAAATATAGGAAGAGCACACTGCTAACACCTGTGCTCTCAGAACCATTACAAGTATTCTAGAAATACTTCCATAATTCCAGAAATAAATGAAACAACACCTACCCCTATAAAAGCAAACGCAAGGATAAAGTCCAGCACACTTTTGCTTTCAATTAGAAGGTTTGTCCGGGATGTTGGTAGGGGAAAATTTTGGTGGATTTTGGATATGTTGCTTAGCTAACTTTTAATAATGTTTTGAAATAATAAATATTTGTGTTCGTATTATGTATGTTATATTTTATCTATATTGGAGGCTCATGGTTGCTGGGTTGTCACTGGCTATAACCCAATGGTGCATGTAGGACACTGTGGGTTCTTTGCGTGTAGCAGATTATGCTTTCTGTCATGTAGGATAGAATAGTTTTGCAGGTGAATTAATTGAATTAATTGTCAAAAGGAGAGGTGGTAGTCATTAGGACATGAAGCATTAGAAAAAACAAGATAATTCATGGAGGAAAAGACTTATCATGTATTTGATCTCATGTTTGGAAACCAATTACATTTGAAACTGAACAGCAGATACTTCTGTTGCAGATGCAGGATTCATACATGGGACAACAGGCTTGGCCAACTCTTCGGTCTCTGTCTTCCTACTTGCCATGGTGGCAAGGGGAGGTGCAGTGCAAATTCCATAGTAATCAATCATAGTAGTCTTCCTTATTGAAATAATTTGTTCCTAAACACTCCAGGAGCAAAGTAGCAATCTTTACGCCTTTAATCAGATTGAGTACTCAATTGTTGAAAGACCAAATCTATGTCAATAAAAGTAATCTGAGGCTATTTGTACTTATGGGTATAGAAAGAGGGGCTTCTTCACCTTTTTTATATTCTTAAAAAGAGAAAAGGTCTACTTAAAGGGGGTAAAAGGGGCATTTAAGGGTGAAAGAGAGCAGGCAAACCACATAATTTCATCATTAAATACATAATCTAGTAGCAATGTACAAGAGTGATTTGTTTTGTGCCAGGACTTCAGTGTCACATCTCAGCCTTGAAAAATAACCAGCAAATATCAAAAAATGAGACACTGAGCATGAGACACTCATCATAAAGTCACAACAACCTGATCACACAGGTGTGCAATTAGGGACGAAGGCTTCAAGCTTAGACATGACAACTGATATGTGTTATTTTAGAACTGAACCACTAAGTTTCTATTTAGCAATAAATAAAATGAGCAATTTTGCATTCTGCTTGCTTTTCTCTGACAAACAAACAAGTATGACATGTTCTCACTGGTCTATGAATGCAACAAAATACTAAATTTATGTACTGCAAAAGGCAATGAAACAGCAGTTCCTGGGAATATGGAATAAGAAGGTAAAGAGCATTCCACTTGTAGGGGTGCTTGTAACCTTCAGAATGTTAATTATGTATTATCTAGAATAAAAAAATATCAGCAAGAAAAATATAATTAACTGCAGCAAGGGCAAGTCACTCAATGCACTATGTAATTGGCACCTACTAAGACCACCAGCATGTCTCAGAATAATTATCTCACTTTCCAGAAGTAAAATGAACTGAAATTTAATATTTTTCTTTCTCCAAGTGATCAAGTCCAAAGCATGCTGATTAAGACAGTAGAATTAAAACATGAAGATGGAAGATCAGAAAGGAAAGCATAAAAAGTATGGGGACATTAAACAGGGGTATACTCGGGAGGGGGGGAATCACTGTAGAATGTTCTGCTTTGTGCAGTTTTCATATAAACCAAAACCAAAAATAAATAAACAATACAATGGCACTTTTAAGTTCCATTAATTTAAAAAGGTCAAAAGTGCATGCTTACTCAGAAGTAAGTTTCATTTTGTTCAACAGGACTTACTCCCAGCAAAGGCATTATAGGACTGCAGCCTATAAGCACCGGTCCACTGAAATCAGCAGGGCTTAAGAGGGCTTATCTTTGGCTGATTTATGCTCCAGATTTCAAACCATAAGCTTTGCAAAGATTTGAAACAGACAGTGGCCATGATTGCATGTCCTGCTAACCAGCGGTGAGCAGGAAGAAGCCATAGCAAACCTTGGGTACACAACTGGGGGGACTTCAGAGGCTTTTAGTTTGACTTTCATTTAAAATAGGCTTGTCAACGTCATCTAGACCAGGGATCATACTTTATGCCTGGTTAGTTTAAACAACCTAGATTTGTGGCGTATGGTTTAAAGTTGATTTGGTTTTGACCCTGGCCACAGTTATGAACCATGATCTCTGATCCATATGACACAACAAGCGGGCTTTAATACAGTGGTTCTCAAACCATGTGGTGCACCAGGAGAGGAGGGCAAGTGTGGCGGGAAGATTCAAGAACAATCAAATAAACATTTAAACATTTCAGTGTAGTGTAGTGTAGTGTGTGTGTGTATGCGCAGAATATGGATAGATATCTTTTCTAAATGAGAGCAAGAGCATCAAGTACGATTGAGGACAATCCTAGCTGTGATCCAGAATCGCTGTTTGAACAGAGTACAGTGGTACCTCAGGTTAAGAACTTAATTCGTTCTGGAGGTCCGTTCTTAACCTGAAACTGTTCTTAACCTGAAGCACCACTTTAGCTAATGGGGCCTCCCGCTGCTGCCACGTCGCCGCCGTGCGATTTCTGTTCTCACCCTGAAGCAAAGTTCTTAACCCGAGGTACTATTTCTGGGTTAGCAGAGTCTGTAACCTGAAGTGTCTGTAACCCAAGATACGACTGTATGGGAGAAGACTCATTTATAATTTTTATTCTGGAAGTGTGGCCTAGATAAAACTGGTTTAAGAGAAAGAGGGGGAGGAGGAAGGAATGATGAAGTCATCCTAGCCTTATGTGAAGTTAATGGGAGCGCACTTACATTTGAGGTTTGTTCCTGCTCATGCATTGCTAAACTATGGTTTAGAAATGATGTAAAAACAGAGCCAGTATGTATACACAATGTTTTGTTTTATAATTGGCATTTTAATGCTATGAAAATGTGTTATTATAAACAAGATAAGCACATGGAACAAGAACAAGTGAAGGCAGCTCAGAAACAAAATAGGATTTAGACAGCATCTGATGAGCAGCCACTGCTGCCTGACTACTGGTAGAACTCCAATCCCAATGACCTCCATTTCTCATCATCATGCTATCCCATGCAAAAAAAAAAACCCCAATATTATGTAAGAACTGAAGGGTTAGATATAGAACAGGTTATTCACAATAACTGGAAGGGTACAGATTTTTATGTGTTTTATTTCTATGAAGGGAAACGAATGACATAGGAAACAACCATGTTTGACAACTATGCATCAGGTTAGATAAATACTTGTGCCTGTCTTGTTTTCT